GCGACCGTCGTCTTCGGACTCGCCTCCTCGGCGAGTATCATGATTCACGACTCGCCGGCCATTTCGGAGTCAACCGCACTATTGCATGGCTTCAACAGCGATTCCGATGGCCCAACCTCATTACCGATGTCACTCGGTATTGCGACTCTTGCGAAGTTTGTCGACGCAGCAAGCCCCGCAACCGCAATCCCTACGGCGAGTTACACCCGATGCCTATCCCACGGGAACCCGGTCTCTCCATTGCCACGGACGTCACCGGTCCGTTTCCTCGCGACCGGCTCGGGCACGACGGCATCCTCACGGTGGTGGACCGATTGAGTAAGTACGCATGTTTTCTCCCTTGCAAGTACGACTCCACGGCTCCCGAGCTGGCACGCCTCCTGCACACTGGTTGGATTTGTGGCCACGGTGTACCAAAAGACATTGTCAGCGACCGCRACACTCGTTTCATGTCGGCGTTTTGGACTGCTCTCATGTAGGAGTCCGGCACAACAATGAAACCAAGTTCGGCTCGACATCCTCAGACAGACGGGCAGACGGAGCGGGCACATCAAACCGCTCAAATGATGCTTCGTACGCTCATCTGTCCAGACCAGAAAGATTGGGTTGACCGCCTCCCCGACATCGAGTTCGCCTACAACACTTCGGTGCATCCGGCGATCGGCGTAACTCCATTCGAGTTGCACCACGGTGGACGGAAAGGCCGGATCTTCGTCGACCTTCTCCTCCCTCGACCAGCCGACATTGACGTTGCCTGCTCTCCCGCTTCCGTTCGGAAGTACAGGGAATCGCTCACTCAAGCCCGCACAAATATGCAAAAGGCTCAAGTCCGCATGCAGCAGCAAGCCAACAGGCGTCGCGTACCATGTCCCATCCGCGCCGGTGATCTGGTTTGGGTCTCCGCGGAAGAGTTTGCACTGGAACAGGATGTTTCACGCAAACTGCTTCCCAAGTGGTTTAGACCTTGGTCTGTGACAGCAGCCGCGGGCGATGAGCCCGATGGCCCTTCATTTGTGATGAACATTCCAGAGCATCTGACGGTCCATCCGGTCTTCCACGCCTCGAAGCTGGCAACATACACGCCAGCCAAGAGCGACGACTTTTCGGACCGACGATCGCAGGACCCTCCTTCTATGGATGGCCATCAGGAAGTTGACCGCGTCATCTTCGATCGCAAGTACGACAGCAAGCCGCAGCAGTACAAAGTCACATTCAAAGCATGCGATCGCGACGACACTCGGTGGATTTCAGACGCATATTTGAAAGCATCCGCACCGCTGATCTACACGCATTATGAAAAGCGGAGGTTAGCTCAGGAAGCTTCACGACCAGCCCCTCCCACCCGGACTGTGGTCCCTCCCTCAGACAGACAGCTTCGCCCTCGCAGGTAAGCTCGGTTCTTCAAGGAGAGGGGGTGTGGCATACCGCATAGCCACACGGGCCCTGCAGGGCCCGTCCCGGACATTCAGCCTAAAAGCCTAAAACTTAGGGCTTACAGGCCCCGTTCGTTTCAGCCTGAAAGCTGAAAAACGAGGGCCTGCAGGCCCTACCCCGTTTCAGCCTATTTCTGGGTCTTTTCAGACCCATAGTTTTCAGCCTGAAACGGAGGGCCATTTTCAGGCCCTCATTGTTTTGACCTGCCCCTAAGACTCAGGCACGTAAACAGGGATGCAGAACAGGCCAGAAATAGCCTGTTCCTCACGAGTTTGAGCAGGAGCTGCAGCTGCAGCCCCTGCCTCCCTTCGGCAGGCTCAGGAGGCACACCCGTAGTACATAGGAAGTTCCCATGCACTTCACGGGTAGGTAGTGTCAGTAGGCAGTGGTAGTCTTCAGGATTTGGCCGCAGCACTCAGGAGGAGCGCTGCAGTAGTCTTCAGCGCTAGTAGTAAGTAGCGCTAGCTGTAGTCTTCGGCGCTGGGCGCCATAGCTGTAGCTGTAGTCTTCGGCGCTGGGCGCCATAGCTGTAGCTGTAGTCTTCAGCGCTGGGCGCTGGTAGGTGGTAGATCGTAGAGTGGGAGAGAGACTGGCGGAGGCCAG